CAGCAATGTGGTTCTCAAGTACGGAGCCAAGGCTGCCTGCCAGAGAGCTCGCAAGCCTCGACCTTGGGAGGATACACGTCCATTTATATTTCGAGGGAAAAGTAGGCATGAGGCGCAAGTAGGAGGGCATCTCTGAGGGTGTACTGCCTCTGGGGCATGAGGTCCACAGCTACGCGGGACTTGCCACTCACCCCGGGAGAGGTATTTCAGCAGTTATGCCCCTCTGGAGTACTGGAGAGGACAGCATGGCAAGAGGCACACAGTGTTCCCACCAAGTGATCTCAGAAACAAGAGTCGACATTTTCACACTTACACTTGTAGCACATCCCCCATTCTCCAAGACCCTGTCATCACAGGTGCAGAAAAAGGCTCCCCAGCCACGGGTGGGCACCCACCCATGCTGCAAGCCCACCGCGCTCTCGGCCCTCACTCTTCTTCCAGCACTCTGGTCCTGAAATTGAGCAACTGGTGCGGGGAGGGGGGAGGGACTTGATATTCACATACAAAAGAATGAGGTTGGACCCTGATAATAACAAATACAAAAACTTACATAAACCAGGCATAGCGGCACCTACCTGTAGCTCTAGATAATCAGGTGGTGGAATATGCTTGAGCCCAGGAGTCTGAAAGCAACCTGGGCGGCATTGTCAGACATCATTTCAAAACTCACAAACATATGAAAAACAGCCCTAAGTATGAGAAACAGTAGTCAACAAAGGGGAAATCTTTTGTTCACTGGTTTGTTGACATTATCTTGGATATGGCACCAAACACACAGACAACAAATGAAAAGATAAAGCAGACCTGATCAAAATTAAGATGATCTGCACATCAAAGGGCCCCATTAATAAACAAAGAGACAACAAACAGAAAGAGAGGGAACATTTGCAAACCACATGTATGATAAGGTATCCAGAATCCACGAGAAGCTGCAGCTGAGCAACTAACAGCCCCATTCAGAAACAGGCACCGATTCTCAACAGATACTTCTAAAGAAGACACATGAATGGCCAGCAAAGACATTTAAAAATGTTCAGACTCACTGTCCCTATGGAAATGAAAGCCAGAGCCATAATAAGATGCTGCCTTGCATTCATTATCAGTGGTTTTGTCAATAAATGAGATAGTGAGATAAAGAAACTGGAGCCCTTGAACATTTGGCTGCTGGGAATAGAAAACCATGCAGCTGCTGTGGAAGTTTGGCAGTTCAACAAAAAGTTAAAAGTGGAGTTACCATATGATCCACCCATTTCATCCCAAAGCATTGAAAGCAGAAACTCAGACTAACACGTATAATCTGGGCGGCGTCATCCACTCACAGCCAAAGAGCGGAGTGAACCAGAGTGTCCATCAACAAATGACATGTGCTAAACATGCACCAACCTTGAGGACATTATGTAAGCGAAATAGGTCAGACCCAGAACAACAAATACTGTCTCGTTCTACTTAGAAGAAGTGCCTAGAGACTGGGAATGTGTCGTAGTGGTAGTGTGCTTGCCTAGCTTGCATGAAGCCCTGGGTTCCATTACTCAGTACCACATAAATAATAAAAGCAAGAAGTGGTTCTGGGGCTCAAGTGGTAGAGTGCTAGCCTTGAGCAAAAGAAGCTCAGGGACAGTGTCCAGGCCCTGAGTTCAAGCCCCAGGACTGACAAAAAAAAAGTAGTACCTAGAAGAGTCAAATCCATACAGAAACAAAGTAAGGGATACCAGAGTCTGGTGGAAAAGCATCTTGGGAATGAGAATTTCTTTGGGAGGGAGGAAGAAAAAGTTGTAGAAATTGATCCTGGTGCTAGTTACATAACACTAAATATATTTAATGCCATTTAATTCTATACTTAAAATATAATTTTTATATTAGGTCTATCTTATTTAAAAATAACTTTAAAAGAAGCACAAATACTGCTGGGCACCAGTAGCTCATGCCTGTAACCCTAGCTACTCAGGAGGCTAAGATCTGAGATCATGGTTTGAAGTTAGCCCAGGCAGGAAAGCCTGTGAGACTCAACTCCAATTAACCACCAGAACACCAGAAGTGGTGCTGTGTCTCAAAATGGTAGAGAGCAATCCTTGAGTGACAGATCTCAAGGACAGTGCCAAGGCCGAGTTCAAGCCCCGTGACTGGAGCGGGGGTGGGGGGGCAGGGAATGCAGTGAGCTTTCATTTTATAATGTGAACTAGTCATTCAGCTCATTCTCACATGAAGGCAAATTTAAATGTTCACACTCTCAGAGCAGAGGGACGGCCACCAGCCTTAAAGAGGAGCTGGTGAGACACAGCCCTGGACAGAAGTACTCAGAGCCTTTCAGTGAGCTCAGCACTGCCTTCTGAGTTTGCACACTGCCCTGCGGGATGCTGGGGCTTGTTCTGGATCATCCATACCATCAGAATCTTTAACTTCAAACTTCAGGACTTCTTAGAAAATTACTAGTTTTCTAAGAAAAGTAATTATTTATTATATAAATTATTCTGGTATATATAAATTATTATTCCATGCACATACGTGTCCCAGCAATATACAATAGCAGACCAGTACTGCAGAATCAGTACTGCAGGCATATTTACCACCTGGCTTTTTTTCTTTCAAATGTTTTATAGTAGTACTGGAATTTGGACTCAGGGTCTTACAAACTTGCTAGGCAGATGTTTTACCACTTAAACAACACCTTCATCCTTCTAGTTTTATTTTTATTAGATCAGGTCTTGCATTTTTACCTGGACTGCCAGTCTCCTATTTCTCCTCTCATAGCTGTGGTTACAGATGTGGACCCCACTCCAAGATCATTGGTTTTGATGAGCCCTCACTAATTGGCTGGCCTCAAAATGCAACCCTCTCAATCACTGCCCCTCACATATCTGGGATTATAGGCATGAGCCACCATTCATATCCACAGTGGCCACCTTCCAGTGTGCTTACCTTGTTACTATTTATCTCCTCTTTTAGTTTCATGTGAATCCAGATCCTTTTTTATAGTCTCTCCTTGGTTGATTGTAAGAAATCTCTTCTCTCTTGGTGTGATTTTTCTTAGGTCACAGACTTGTGACCTATACCTGGTATTTCAACTACCTTCCACTGGACTACATGAGGAACGCAGGCTGCGTAACTATGGCAAATTGAACTCTTCTGTTTCAGGCTTATCCCCAGGTCACGCCATGAGAAAACTGATCCAAAACCACTCACAGAGACTCTACAGCATTCCACATTGTAAACAAGATCTTGACTTCCAGACCTGAAGGAAAGTAACTGAGACCGTTTGCAAGGGGCTGAAAGAGATATGGGTGGAATCTGGCCTTTGGATTTTATATCTTCACATGCTAGTTAGTAGTACCAATGAGAAAAAGAGGTATTTAACTAAATACATACAAGAGGAACTTTTTAAAAGTTAAACTAAAAATATGAACAGCACTACCTTACCTTTTTGCCTGATTTTTAAGTTCAGGCAAAGCTGAAAATGTTTAAATGTTTTTAGCTGAATGGTTTTTCTTTAGGTTGCTAGATGCAACCTAAACAACAGGGCTACTGGACACAGTCCACTCCTTGAGAATGGTCTCCAGCCCCTTCCTTCCCTGTGGCCCTCAGGAGGAGCAGGCTGTCTGCCCAGGAACTCTTGCTATCTTAGACCCTCAGAGCAGAAGAAAAGAACAGTCTTTATTCCTGTCCGTCCACACTAACTTCCAAGCTACAGACAACAGAATAGCCATTTCTCCTTTCTGCACAGGGCTAGCCCTTTTTGGCAGGAAAACCCTCTGGTTTCAAAAAGCAGCACAAACCCATCATGCTAGTTTATCTCTATTACCTTACTAAGCAAAAAAAAATCATCAAAGAGGTATCATCCTAGTGTAAGTACAAAGACACAATACCACTAATCTGGGACAACAGAAACATACAACACAGTTAGACCCCGGTCTGCCTCCATGAATCTTAAACTGCCTTTTATAGAATATCTGGCTGTGGTGAGCTAGCAGTACACAATGTGTTGGCTCATGAAATTCAAACAAGTATGCCTTCCTTTGCACTCTATATTCAGCTTCAACCATAAACTATATGTCCCCTCTAAAAATCCACTTAGAAAAAAATATGAAGTTACACATAGCAGAAAAATGTTTAGAAGTATTTAAGCTATCATAAAAAAGGGATAGAAGACTTATTTCCTCTTTTATAGGATGACAGAGCATTGTAGTGACACACAGAAGGAAACAGCCAGGGAAAGAAAGCAGTTCACTGGGATGCCAACTCTTGCTCACACCTAAAACGTCTAGAAGAGTTGTGGTGTGTTCTTTGTTCTCTGTCAATTGTGTACAACTTACACTGTACAGCATGATGACCACACAGAGTGCATATGTACAATAAAGTCCTGGTATACAAACACACACACACACACACACACACACACACACCGAGGAAGGGAACTACCATTTAGAGAATCTCAACTAACTGCATATATTCTCATTCTATAAGGCAATCTTCCAATATTGGTTATAAGAAAAACTGGACATCTAAGCCCATTGACAAAGATAGTTCCTTTTGCCAGCCAATTATACAAAGGGAATAAATTTCCTAATATCAAACTTACATTTCAGAATATAGTTGTTTTAATATACTATCTCTTCTTTCTTTATTCAAAAATAGAGGCCCCAAAAATAAACAACTAAAATGTACAACGTCATATGAAATCACAGGGTCTCCATAACAGAGGTATTCATTCCAATTACTAGAGAGAGAATAAGTTGATTTTCAAAGAAATGTATGTGGAGAAATGCTGACCACAGGCAGACGGTGATCGGATCTCCCATCTTTATGGTAATGTACAGGCATGGACAGTTTATGGGGCAGTGAGGAGCTGTTCTAGGAAGGCTTCTTGCAGGTTGTCCTGGAATGGCTATTCCAGAGGACAGATTCTTGTCTGACTCCCTGCTCTGGCAAGATTCAACACTCACAGTGCAGTGTCTTTCCAGAGAGAGTGCTGTGGAATACCACTCCACTCTGCCTATCTCCTGTCAGTCACCCTCCGGGCCATCTCTAACACACAGCACCTGGAGATGGCTTGGATACACACTGAGGAACTGGGGAGAGTGGGACACAGGCACGTCCCCAGACCCCCTGGGACTGAGCGCACCTACTCATTGCGCTCCAGGGTGTGGAGGTCGTCCAGGAGCTCCTGGGCGGCGCTCTGCAGGTGCGGGTTGCGGCTTTTCGACATGGCCAAGATGCGCTGCAGAGGTAGAGAGTTCCGGAACTCAGTGGCTGACTTGGAGAAGACTTCTGGTTCCAGAACCACAGACTGGATGAGCCGCAGTACATGGAGACACACCTCTACATCTGGATCTGAGAAAGATGGAGACACTTCCAGTGAGAATTAGAGCTTCTTCGGGAGTCCACCCTTTGAAGGCTCCTTCTGAGTGACAAGTAGATGGGTGAGAGAACTCCAGGCTATTCCAGAGACCACAATAATTGCTTGATGTGAAAGCTCGCACATAAAACAGTACACAAAACTTGATCAGCATCTATTTACAACCATCCACCTACAAAAACACTATGATCATAATTTAGAAGACTGAACTGGAAACGCTGGTGCTGCGGTGGGAACTAGGAAGTGCCCCCCAGGCCTGTGCCAGTCCCCAGCCTGCGATGCTCCTAGGAGGTGGTGACCCTCCAGGAAATGGGGTCTACTGGGAGGAAGTGAGGTCCTGGGGGCACGTCCTGAAGTGGGTATCGGGACCCTGTTCCCTTCCTGCTTCTCTCTGCTTCCGCGCTTCCAGGAGGTGACATCTGTTCCTGTCGTGAAGTCCCTGCACGCTGCCACAGGCCCAAAGCATCACTGAAACCTATGAAACTGGACACAGATAAACCTTTCCTTCTTTTAGTTAACATCCTCAGATATTTTCTCCCAGTGACATAAAGCTGACTAACACAAAGGCTTTCCATATTGTTTGCCATAACTCTGCTCTCAGCATTGTCTTAAAGCTATTACTTCATTTGCATTCCAACTGTAGCTAGTCTCTCAAAAACTACAGGCAGACACACGCTCTGCTCAGGCTGTGGAATTACACAGTGCCACGGGCAGCAATGCACACACTGCCTTCCATTACTTTCCATGTGACTAACCTCAGGAGCTACAGAGCCTGGAAGCCACACTTATATTGTAATATCCGCCAAAAACAGTGGGGGGCTGGGAAGGTGGCTCAGCAGTAGAACACTTGCCTAGCATGCATGAAGCCTTGGGTTTAATTCCTCAGTACCACATACACAGAAAAGGCCAGAAATGGTGCTGTACCTTAAATGGTAGAGTGCTAGCCCTGAGCAAAAAGCTCAGGGACAGTGCCCAGGCCTCGAATTTGAGCCTCAGGACTGGTAAACAAAAAACAAAACAAAAACAAAAAAACCAGTGGGGGTAGGGATGGGAGGGGTAAGTGGGAGAGAATGATGGACAGGTGACATTGACCAAGAAGTACCATACTTACAACCTGACGTATGGAACTGTAGCTTCTTTGGACAACTATTTAATAATAACAATAAAATAAATGTAAAAATAGCAAGAGAAAATCAGTAATAAAGTACAGACAGTAAAGGGACAATAAGTAATATATGAAAAACTTGATACCTATAAATTTGTTTTACAACTTGGCTGGAATAAAAAAGTTCTTGGGAAAAAACACACTATCAAAATGTATTCAAACAGCCAGGCGCTGGTTGCTCACACCTGTAATCCTAGCTACTCAGGAGGCTAAGATTTGAGGATCGAGGTTCAAAGCCAGCCTGGGCAGGAAAGTCTGGGAGACTCATCTCCAATAAACCACTAGAACACCGGAAGTGGCACTGGGGCTCAAGCAGTAGAGTGCTCACCTTGAGCTGAAGAGCGCAGGGACAGCGCCCAAGGACAGAGTTCAAGCCCCACGACTGACCAAAAAAAAAAAATTTATTCAAACAAAGCAGATAAACTACATTTGTCTATATCTATTGCAGAAACTGAATTTGTAGTTTAAACAATGAATAAAAGCCCAGGACCAAATGGCTTCATTCACAAATTCTATCCAACATTTTAAGAACAATAATAGTAATGCTATACAAGTATCCCAGTAAATAGAATATACTTGTTCACACAAGTGTCAACTTTTTGGGGGACAGAATTGATCTGCTACCAAAACTAGACAAAGATGATACAGCAACATGTTTGGGGAGGGGGTAGTAAAATGAAAGGAGGGAGGAAGGATGAGAAAATATAGCCATTGTATTCATGTACATTATATAAAAACTGAACTGCATAATTTAAGGGTAGAGATGGGAGGGGAAATTGGAGAGCATGAAGGAAGAGGTGGTATTGATCAGGATGCAGTGTACTCATAACCTAACATACAGAATTGTAACATCTCTGTACAACTACTTTATAACAAAATTTTCAAAAACTAGACAAAAAGCCAGGTACTGGAGCCTCACACCCATAACCCTAGCTACTCAGCAAGCTGAAATCTGAGGATCACGGTTCAAAGGCAGCCCAAGAAAAGTGAGCAAAGTCTATAAGACTCTTAAAACTCAGAGAAAGCCAGAAGTAGCACTGTGGTTCAAGTAATAGAGCTCTTGACTTAAGCATAAAGAGTCTCAGGGACAGTGCCCAAGCCCTGAGTTCAAGCCCCAGCCCAGAACGAAACAAACAAAAAACTAGACAAAGACATATTCGTATCTCTCAGAAGCATAGATATGAAGTTCCTAAGCAAAATATAAGCAAAGTAGACCCAGAAATATGACTTTATAGCCACTGTGCATTTATCTGGGGAATGCAGGGTGCTTCCACACTTGTAGATAAATCAATGCCACATAGAATAAGAAAAGCTCATCTTTGCCACAGATATTTTCAACAGAAAATTCCTGACAAAACTTAATACCTATTAATAATGTTTTAAAAAAAATACTCTAGGCTAGAACTCTACCACAGTTCCATTTCCAGTTTTCTGGTACTTAACTGGAGATAGAAGTCTCATAGACTGGACTGTGGTAGAGTGCTTGCCTCACATGCATGAGGCCCTGGGTTCAATTCCTCAGCACCACATAAGCAGAAAAAGCCGGAAGTGGCGCTGTGGCTCAAGTGGTAGAGCGCTAGCCTTGAGCTGAAGAACTGAGGGACAGCACCCAGGCCCAGAGTTCAGACCCCATGACTGGACCTAAAAAAAATAAAAAAATAAATAAAGAATTGGGCTGGGAAGGTGGCTCAGTGGTAGAGCACTTGCCTTGCATGTTTGAGGCCCTGGATTCGATTCCTCAGCACCACATAAGCAGAAAAAAAAAAGCTGGAAGTGGTGCTGTGGCTCAAGTGGTAGAGCGCTAGCCTTGAGCTGAAGAGCTGAGGGACAGCGCCCAGGCCCAGAGTTCAGGCCCCACGAGCAGACCCAAAATAAACCCAAAAAACAAAAAACAAAGAATTGAACAACAGAGCAACCTAGCAATGCTCAGGACAAGCTGGGTCGGATTGAGGGCATCCACTGAACATCACAACTGTAGGAGACCTTGCTTCCACTCCAGGGCCCAGGGTTCCCACGCTCACCACCCCGCTCAAAGCACCCTGAAGATCTAAGCTGTGTAGTAAGATGAGAATTTTTTTTAAGTTTATAGGTTGAAAAGGAAGAAATAGAACTATCACTATTTGCAGGTAATGTCTATAATAGAAGATCTCAATGAATAAACAAGAAGCCACTAAAGTAATTGAGTTTTGCCAGGTTTTCAGAGTACAAAGTCAACTTTATACAAAGATAAATTTTTACTAATATACTGGCAATAAAAAATAGGAAAATTTCTGGGCCTGTAATCCTAGCCAATCAGGAGGCTGAGATCTGAAGATTGCAGTTCAAGGCAAGCCCCGTGCAGGAAAGTCCATGAGACTCTCATCTCCAATGACCCAGCAGAAGACCAGAAGTAGTGCTGTGGCTCCAGTGATAGAGTACTCACCTTGAGCTGCAGAGCTCAGGAACAGTGCCCAGGTCCAAAGTTCAAGTCCCATGACCAACAAAAAATCAAAACCCAAATCCAATTTCTCTTCTGTTGCATGTTGTCCTTATTTATTATTATGATTATTTTGGTGTTTTGGAGCAGGTCTCTACATGTAACCCAGGTTGGGCTTGCAGTCATGATCTTCCTGCCTCAGCCTCCCAAGTAATGGGATTAGAGGTGTACAGCACCACACCACCACGCCTGGCTCAGGAGCTTTCTTTTGAATTATTCTCCTTATAAATAGATGGACATCTCAAATTAGGGGTTGGTGCTTTCCTTATTTTGGAAAATTCCTTTGGCTTTATTTCTTCAATGTTGTTTCTAAGCTGTCTCTTCTCTCTTGAATTTCTATTTTTCATTGTTTTATTTTAGTTTTTCTCTTCAGTTTCTAGAATACTAATCCACTGGATGTAATACTAATCCACTGGATGTTAAGGTCTTTGTCTCATCTCTGTGCCTTTTACCTGCTCATATTTTCCAGCTCTCTTTGTGCTTCACTCTGAATAATTTCTGCAGATCTATCCATTCAGCTATCTCTTCAACAATGTACAATCTGCTATTAAATTGGTCCAGTAAATTTATAGCTACAACTAATTATAATGTTAATTTCTAGAAATGTTATGCAATCTTTTTTCAGATCTACTGGGTTATTTTATAATCTCCCTTTACGCACATGTTAATCCCTTTGGGGACTTTTCTATTCATTTCATTTTTGTAGTATTGATGCTAGTATTCACTTTGCCACTGAGCTACAACTCCAACCCCATGTTATTTCTTTAAACACATTAAATCTACTTAATTTCATATCAGCTTACTAATTCTCATCTTTAAACCTTCTGTAGGTCTGACAGTGCAAACCTGTTACTTCTGTTGCCTTTCATTCACATTACTTTTTGAGATTTTAAGATGTGATCTCTGATCTTGGAATGCTATATCTAAGAATTTTTTAAGTACTTGGGAGGATTTTGTTTTTCTCTTAATGGGGACTGTATTAGTCAAAGTTCTCCAGGGAAACACAAGGATGTGAGGAAAGACAAATGTATGAATTGATAGACGAAGAGGAAGATCAAACAATTTTCTATAAGGGTATAATTAGGGAATCTGAGACATCCTAAGATCAATACTGGGTGATGTGAAGGGCTCATGCCTGGAGGGCTGGTACCTGGTTCCAATCTGGAAGCTCTCAAGCTCAAGGCTCAAGAGTGGATGTTTTCCAAAGGCAGGAAAAGACCATCTTCCGGCTAATTAGCCGAGGAACGCCTTCTCACTCATCCTTTCTGTCCCACTCAGGTCTTCAACCATGGGGCAAACCCACTCGCACCAGGGGGGTCATCTGCTTTACTTAA